TGAGTTTTGATATGAATTAAAGTGCTCTGTGAAAATGGTGAATATGATGTGATAATGTGATAATGTGAATGTGATGATGTGAATATGATGATGAGAACATGATGATGAAATGTGATGATGAAATATGATGATGAGATGTGATGATGTGATGTGTTGATGACATGATGATAATGAGACATGATAATGTGATATGAGAATGAGACATGAAAATGTGATATGAGAAAAACATGGAGTCTTGATTGACATGCATCATATGCATAAATGTTTTTAAGGGTACGATATGGAATACACCGCCAGAGAAGGGCCCCTAGTGTAAAAGCTTTGGGGATTAGTCCTTGGGGATAACTCGATTTGTAAGTCCCAGTACTAGTCTCGCCCATTGTGTGCATGGGATGTATCCTGCGCGGCTTAGCTATCCCGACGAAACTCTAATAGTATGTCCTTCTAGTGAGAGTGCGTAGAGGGTGTGACCCGACATGTACTCTTAGACTACTCTTCGTGTATTGCTAGCGGCAATATGCCATGTGATATGTTACTGGCACCACGTCCATACATGTGCATTTTAATGTTATATGAAAAATTGATGTCTTGGATGATTGAAATGTGATATTATTATTAATTTATTTATGTTATATATGTTTTGTTTGTGTTTGGCTATCTGGTGTGTATTCCTACACTGTGAGCCAGAGTGGGATGTTTCTCACTCCCTTTTCTCGTGTTGTTTTTCCTTGACTGTCTTACAGGTAATTATCAGTATGAGACTGAGGATGTTGGTGATGAAACTTAGGCTTCTATGTTGAGATTTGCTCTGATAGAACATATGACATCGGGGCGTAGATAGGATTAGATTAAGATGTTTTTGTTAAATTATTTAGTAATACCTTATATTATTTCTTTGTAATTTCTGCTAATTAAGCTACGTACTGTTTAAGTTATGGATGTGGTGCCCTCTATTTAAACATGTTTGGTATTTTAATTATGAAAAAAATTTATGTTATTCAATTTTTGTTATTTGTGTTATGGTATGTGAGGTAGAGGGTGTCACAATAACTAATGGTAATAAAAAAACTCGTATTATAAAATGAGTTAATTACCTATAACTTTCAGTGTAAAGTTTTTTTTACACTGGCAACCAATCAAATTTTTTAATAGTGTCATGTCAATTGCTTATTTAATGAAATAAAAATAAAAAAATAATTTAAAAAATCTGATTGGTTGCCAGTGTAAAAAAACTTTACACAGACAGTATATTGGTGATTAACTATTATAAGATCGGGGTTTCAAAAAGTTTATCGAAACATGAAATAGAATTGAGATTTTGAAAGAGAGACGAGAGGAATAGATTGGAATTTCAAATGATATTTTTTTATAAAATTATTATAGAATAATCTTGTGTATTTGATTAATATTTCTTTTAATATAAAAAGTTGTATAATATTTAATTAAGATAATTAATTTTTTTAAGAGTATATATCAAAATCTGATGATATTTAATTAAGATTTTTTTTAAGATTATGCTAAAATTTAGTAGTATTCAATTAAAAAATTTTCACTTAAAAAATTCTGTTATAGTATTAAAAATATAAAGATTTCATTGGATTATTTTGATGAATAAATTTTGTAAGACTTTTTTTTGTTTGTTTGTTTTTCCTTCACCTTTTTTAATCTTCTTTTTTTTTTTCCTCTTTGACTCTCTTTTTCTCTCTATCTCTATTTCTTCTCATGTCTTCTTTATTTCGTATATTTTCTTTTTCCGTTTTTCATTTTTCATATTTTTATTCTTTTTTTTATTTTTTCTCCTATTTTTTTATATATTAATTTGTTTTGTTACATTTTTATCTATCAATAATGATTATGATTTATCAATATTTATTTTAAATTATTAAATATTTAAAATTATTTTTTAATTATTAAATATTATACATTGTTATTATTAAAATTTAACAAATGCTTAATTTTAATAAAATTTAATATTAAAATATAAAAATTTTAAACATGAGTTAAAATATATTTTGATAACTTTACCAATTAATAAATATTATAAATTTAAATATATTGTTCAAATTTAATGGTATGAATGAGAAAATATAAATACATAAAAGTTTATATGTAAATAATATTACTTGAGAGGACATGAAACCAGAATCAATTATTTATTAGAAGATTAAAAAATTTATTAATTTTATTTTCTTTATTTAAACCTTATTATTTGTGTTATTTTTTTTATTAATTATATTATTTTTTTAAAATCCATATTATCTTTTGAAATTTAATAAAATCCTTTAGAATCTAACAAATTCTTAGAACAAAAATCCATATCATGAAATCTTGATTGAAAAAGTCTTTTATTTTTTTTAAAAGTCATTACATTCCTATAAAAAAAATCTTAAAAATCATTAAATTCTTACAATTTTTTTAAAAATCTATAAGACTTTTTAAAACAAATAATTTTATAAAATCACAATCCAATATACATTCTTAGTTCATATTCTATAAATGAATTGAAGAAAACCAAAGAACCAAATATTAGAGATTGAATCTGAGATATACTTGAGAAAATTCAAAACCTAACCTATAACAATAAGAGAGAGATCTCAATAGGATATCATGTAATCAAAAAGAGAAATTCTTTCGTATCCTTCTAAATTTAAAAGGTTTTGGAACATTTGATTTATATATATATATATATATATATATAATACGTAAATACTTGATTTTTAAAAGTTTATCTTTTTGATGATCTTATAAATTATGATAAATTGAAATTCTTTACACTTGTATATAAGTTATCAATATTTTAGTTTATTTGTATTTAGAAGTTTTATACTAAATTCAAGAGGTTTTATGAGGAGTTGAATAAAAAATCCACAAAACCTCTCTTTCTTCAATAAACATAATCCTATGGTGTTTGCTCCTGACGGATTCTAACATGAAGTAGTAAAAAATGTCCCTCGTGGATGAATCATTAGTTTTAGTCATTGGATATATTAATAAAAAAATCAACGTACGAGATTGTTTTCTCAACCGGTAAGGCAACTCACATAACCGGTAATTAGTTTTCTCAACTAAACCCCGTCGAACCACTGAGACCGCACGTGCAACAACGTCGTCACCATGGCTGCAAGCATAGCGGCAGAACCTAGGGCTTCCAATTTCTTTCCTCTGCTTGTAATTTGATTTCGCTATGGCTAACCGGAGAGAACGAGATTTGTTCCACGGCGACGCGATCGATCCCTCGAACGATGAGGGTTTTCGACGATTCCTCTTCGGTGGATAGTGACGGTGCCTCGTCACCCTGGCCGCATGTGTAGCGGCGGAACCTAGGGTTTCCAATTTCTTTCCTCTGCTCGTAATCTGATTTCGCTATGGCTAACTGGAGAGAACGAGATTTGTTCTACGGTGACACAATCGATCCCTCGAACGGCGAGGGTTTCGATGATTCCTCTTTGGTAGACAGCAACGGTGCCTCATCACCGTGGCCACACGCGCAGCGACGACGGCGTCATTGTGGCTCTCAAATATTTTTGTGAGTTTTTTTATATATTTTTTTTGATTAAAAACCTCTTATTCGGTCATTTTAGTGCCTCAACCATAAGGCATTTTTTTTACTACTTCATGTTAGAATTCGCCTTTATTCCCTATTATTTCAATTTCTACAAAAGGATGGATTCTAACATGAAGTAGTAAAAAATATGCCTTATGGATAAGATACTAAGATGATTGGGAATAAGAGGTCTTTAACTAGAAAAATATAAAAAAATCACAAAAATATTTGAGAACCACGGTGATGCTTTCGCCGCTGCGTGTGCGTCCATGGTGATGCCATCGTTGCGCGTGCAGCCATGGTGACGAGGCACCGTCGCTATCCACCGAAGAGGAATTGTCAAAACCCTTGCTGTTTGAGGGATCAATCGCGTCGCTGTGGAACAAATCTCGTTCTCTCCGGTTAGCCATAGCAAAATCAGATTACGAGCAGATGAAAGAAATTGGAAACCCTAGGTTCCACCGCTGCGCGTGTGGCCACGGTGACGTCGCCGCTGCGCGTGCGGCCATGGTGATGAGGCACCGTTGTTGTCCATCGAAGAGGAATCATCAAAAACCCTCGCCGTTCGAGGGATCGATCGCGTCGCCGTGGAACAAATCTCGTTCTCTCCGATTAGCCATAACAAAATCAGATTACAAGTGGAGGACAGAAATTGAAAATCCTAGGTTCCGGTGCTATGCAGGCAGCCACGGTGATGACGCCGCTGCGCGTGCGGCCATGGTGATGAGGCACCGTTGTTGTCCATCGAAGAGGAATCATCAAAAACCCTCGCCGTTCGAGGGATCGATCGCGTCGCCGTGGAACAAATCTCGTTCTCTCCGATTAGCCATAACAAAATCAGATTACAAGTGGAGGAAAGAAATTGAAAATCCTAGGTTCCGGTGCTATGCATGCAGCCACGGTGATGACGCCGCTGCGCGTGCGGCACGGTGGTTTGACGGGGATGAGTTGAGAAAATTAATTACCAATTATGTGGGTTGCCTTATCGGTTGAGAAAACAATCTCGTACGTTGATTTTTTTAGAAATATATCCAATGATTAAAACTAATGATTTGTCCATGAGGAAGATTTTTTACTACTTCATGTTAGAATCCATCCTACAAAAAGATTTAAATATTAGGAACAAAAAAAAATGAGCGAAGAAAAAAAATCACACGTTATTTCATTTTTATTTATTTAAAATAGTAGTTATATCAAAACAAAATATCTATGAATATCATAATAACTCCCACAAAGATTATAACAATAACGATAGATGATTAAAAACAAAAAGAAAATAAAATGATTAAATTTTTTTAAAATGTACAAAATGAAAGAGACGAGAAATTAATCATTCACAATGGTTAACAATTATTATACTATGAAACAGGACAACTAGAGAAATAAGAAAATAGTTTGAAATCTGAGATTATATTATTTAAAATAAAAAGTTTATACAAATAAAAATAACCTCCATATTATATTCTAACAAACTTTGTCACCAAAAAAATATGCTAACAAACTAACATATATTTATAACTAATAAATTAATTATTATTTTTTATATAGGTATCTCCAATCCACAGCTAGTTGGAAGAGTTTTTGCATACATCATCCAACAAACTAGTTAAACCCTAACTCAAGTATCTTGTTTATATGACCAACATCAAAAGTATGGCAAATCTTGCGCTCCCATGTAAACATCATACCAAAAGTCCACATTATGGTACACACTTGATGAATTGGGTGGAAAACTTGTGGTCTCATCGGAATTATAAGATGACAGAACTTGAGACCAGAAATCATCGTCGAGCGATTCAGCAGCACCTCTATTGATGGGCACATGAATAGCATCATTGGTGTCACTAGTAGCAGTGGTGGTGAGGGTTGAGACATCACTACTTACACAGTGAGGTGGAGACAATAGTGGCTTCTCCTTTTCCTCTGTGATTTGGGGGTTCAAGGATGAGTTTTGTTTTGCACTTCGTTTTTTGTGTTTGGTTTTTGTGTCTTGGGGCAGCCTCTTCTTCAAGTGGGTGTGCCACACATTCTTAATTTCGTTGTCTGTGCGTCCAGGTAATGTTGCTGCTATTGCTGACCATCTGCATGGTTAATTAATTATTCTTCCAAAATTAATGCACATAATTACTAACTTAATGCTTCCATTCAATTTTCAATATGAAACCGAAATTGCTTCTCTTACTTGGTGTATTAACAACAGCTTTATGTGCTAACCTATGTGCTACGTGTTAGGTCTTAGGTCTTGCACTCTCATTTTGGGTAGATAGGTAGAGACATCAGAGAGATAAAATAATACTAGAAGACCAAAAATAAGGTGCATGAAAAATAAGGTGCAGTAATAAATAAGAGTTTATAGTTTTTTTTCTTAAAATAAAAAAAAGTTTAATAGCTATGTAGTGAAATATTATTATCTTTTATATATATATATATATTCATTTAATTATTTATTATAAAAATTATCAAACTTATCATATATATATAAATTTATAATTAGATAATAATATAAAATTATTATTTTTTATAATTATATAATTAGTACAAAATATTTATCTGTTTTGCAAAAGATTAATCTCTTATTTCGTGAAAAATTTTCTTGAATAACATTTTTTTTAATACACAAAACTAAAAAAAAAGTAGATAAAAGATATAAATAAAAAAAGTACATGTATATAATAATTACATTGAAATAGTAAATAAACAATCAATAAATGAAAAAAAATATATTTATGATCATATACATTAATAACATTAAATAATTTAAATACTTTTATTTACTTTTATTTATTTAATCACAGAACAAGGATTAATGAGACTGTACTTTAATACGTGAAAAAAGTGGTAGCAAATAAAAGAATCCTACTTCTATTAAATGTTATAATTAAAAGACAAGGTATTGAATGAGTTTATTAATATACTTAATTATTTAAAATGTGTATAAATATATCTTTTTAATATAATTAATTATTTAGAATAAATATTGAATGAGTTTTTTTAAATTAAAGTTTACAATTTTTCTCCTTAACATGTGTTTAAAACCAAATGTATGCTAAGAAAAAAAATTGTAAACTTTAATTTAAAAATTTATTCAATATTTATTTTATATAATCAACAATATTTAATAAAATATATTTATTATTATACTCTAAATGTTGAACTTTTTTTATTGATCAGGCGAAAAATAAAAAATGTCTACACTGCACATGTTAAAAAAAAGGCTTTTATTAAGAAAAATAAATGCTAAGAATTTATTTTTTATTTTTTCAGAAAATACTAAGAATTTCTTAGTGTGTTAGAAAATGTTAAATTGAGAACATTTTATTAATATACATAGCATTTAATATTATCAGTATATTAATGTTGTTATTTACTTAAAAAAACAATTTAATAATTCTTTAATTAATATTCTTAAAATATTAATTAATTTATATTCATTTTTTTCACACTAATTAATTTTTTCTCTCTCTCTTTCAATGTACACATATTCTATAGAATTTATGCTATAATTCCAACCCAAGTATTATAAACTATTATAATCGGCCTAACGGTGGAATTTGAGGAAAATATACATAATTTTAAATTTAAATTTTATTATCATCAATGTAATTTTGATAGATGAAAAAATATTAATTATATAACAAATAATTTGTTTTATTTTTTAGTTTTTTATTATATATATATATATATATATATTAAAAATGTCTCATCAAGAGAATGAATATCAAGAGTCTCGTTATTCAACCATAATTTTAGGCATGCTTTCATTGGTATATCTTTCCCGATTAAAAATAGAAATTTACCTCTAATAATATAGATTTATATTTAATGTATATCTAATTAATGTAATTAATATATATTACTGAGGTAAAAGATTCATTCTAATTAAAGAATAATATTTACTGTGCTAAAAAAAACTGAGTTTTGTTCAATTTATTATGTAGTTTTAATGTAATTTTTAATAACTTTTTTATTTATTGATTCTTCAGTCAACACTATTGAATCATGGATAATATTTAACTCAATCCTAATCAATGCCCCAATTCATATTTCAAATCATTAAAGATTGCAGAGCAAATTAGTTGGCGAATATGGACCAACCTAATACAAGTTGTGAGCTATAGTGGCTAAGACAAGGAAAAAAAATTGTCCATTCATGATCTATCTGTTTAAACTTTAAAAGAAGTATTTAAAAAATTATTTTTGAAAAATAATTCTTTAAGAAGTAAGTAATAATTACTTCATAAAAATTACAAAAAATTTATCAAATACGTTAAAAAATAGAAGAGTACATATTTTTATTAAAAATAATATTTTTTTAGAGAGGAAAAATTTAAACAAATAGGCTCTCAATTTAAATTTTTAAAATAGAGCTCAAGTTGATAAAAGTTTAAAATTTTTAAAATAAATTTTCATGTTTGAACCATGATCGGATCAAACTAATCCAAATCCAATTCAAACTAGATTACACCAAATAAATTTGGATTAATTCCAAAAATCCAATCTATTTTACGCATTTACAGCTCATGTTAATTTTTTTTTATTCATCCAAAATATATTAACAACATAATTTGAACTGGATACTATTCTAACTCTTAACCATTACTCTAGTATTTTACAAAGTGTCTAGTTTAAGTATAGCTCGAAAATCAAAATATAGGTAGGTCATATAAAAAATATTAAAAAAAAAATAAAGTACATAGTTAAATGATTACCTGTTTCCCAATGTTTCATGCAACTGGATTATCAGTTCCTCTTCTTCCTTAGTAAAGTTGCCCCGTTTAATTTCTGGCCTCAAATAATTCATCCACCGGAGTCTGCAACTCTTTCCACACCTCAACAGCCCTATTGGTTAAAACAAAAGAAAAATACAAATAAACAAGAAATAATACATATACAATTGAATTGCCTTGTGAATTTCCTCAAACATAAACAAGAAAGAATTGTCTTTTCCAAAATTACCAGCTAGTTTGGGTAGAGCTCGCCAATTTTTGTGACCATGTGTGTTGATATGATCCATGAGAATCTGATCTTCCTCTGGAGTCCATGTTCCTTTCTTCAACCCCATTTTCTCACAGCAAGGAGCTCTCCCCATATTGTTTTCTATGTCACTATTCCCACATGCTGCAACTGAAGCACTAGGCTAGCTTTTATTTATATGCAAAAAATAAAATAAAATTATAATCTAAAGTTGGAATGCAAAACCAATTACCAAGGGAAAAAAAATAGAGGGTTGAAAGTTGAATGTTGAAACATTGAACCTGACAAAGGTTATTGTGCTGAATTAATGTTATAAAAGTAATTAATGATTTTCAACAAAAATTTATTAAGGAGATTAAAAAATACATATTGATAATGTTTATTAAAAAATAATTTTGATAATAATACATATATGGTAATAGTTTATTCTGAGTAATTAAATAGTTTTTTTCCAAAACAAAAGTCTCCCATAAATTTTCTATTTCCATAAAACGGCTCCATTCCCGTCTATTATTTAGTTAAAAAAAGTTCTTTTTTTTTGACAAAAAAAACTAAGGTAATTAATATTAAATTTAATGGTAACATATATATATATATATAAATACATATATTATAAATTTATTAATTTTATTATTCATATAATATACATACTTTTTTTGGGTACATTTAATAGTTTATATATATAAAATATTTTAAAATGAAAAGGTCAAATTTAATTTAATATAATACATTTTTTTATACATTTAATATATGTGTTTATAAATTCACACACAAAAGAAATAATTTATCTCTTATTTTCTAAATTTTATTATTTATAATAAATTGTTATAAATTATTTTAAATTCAACTATATACTTAAAAAAAATTATTTTTGATCGTCATTGTTCAATAAAATATATTTTAAAATAAACAAATTTAAACGACATATATACATATATATATAAAAAGAAAAATAGACTTAAAAATCAATATTAATAATATATTTAATGCTATTAATGTTTTTCATAAATATATGAATTCCAAGATTTTTCTTCTTATATTATTTTTCATGGATGATATAATAATGTCCCAAAATTAATAATCAAAGACTGATCTTGGATCACAGGATGTGACTTCTACTTGTCAATTATTATTTTAACATAGTTGAGAATCAGATTTTTCTTCTTATATAACATTAAAATTTAAATATATTTTTAATCTTTATTTATAAAGTGAGTAAGTTTTGATTTTAGTTCATGTAAAACTTTTTCTTTGTTTTAAATTTCTATAAAATTAGAAATTATATTTTTGATCTATAATCATTTTTAACTAATATTTTTATTAAAAAGTCAAGTGACTACCTTAAGTGATACCCATGCATAATTCTCTATGATACTTTGTTAGCGTATAATACTTTTAAAATTTTATATATCTTTAAAATAAATGTTATTTATATATTTTAAAGTGATCATTATGGACAAAAAATAATGAGTTAAGATTTTAGAATAATGAAAATATTTTCTTTACAGGGATCACAATCATTTTTTGCTCATTTTACAAAGATAATTTTTTTTTATACAAATTTTAGAAGGATAAAAAAATATACAGAGATTATTTTTTTAGCCTAATATTAATTATTCATTTTAAATATAATATATAATTAAATTTAATAATATTTTTAAATAATATATTTAGTGAATATACTATATTAAATAAATTTATTGAAAATATAACATATTTTAAATATATGTTAGTATATTTAGAGAGAGAGGGTGTATACTATGAGAACATCTGAACTTTTAAATTAAGATAAAATGCTGAGATTAAAATATTACAAATATAACTATCACTATAGATATAAAAATGGGCGAGTCAATAAATTTGTTAATTAAAGAGTTTTGTAATGGACTAGTCTTAATTTGGTTCGATTAGCCTATAAATTGTTTTTGTAATGAATTGATAAAAATTGATCAAATCAATTTAAATTGGCTTAATTTATCTTCTTTATTTTAAAATTTAATCAATATTTTTTTAAAAGTAAAATACATATTTAATAAAAATTTATAAATTAGAGTAAATTATTTCATTAATTATTTTTAATATTTTTCTTATAAATATAATTTAATTATATAAGTTAATTTTTGATTTTTAGTATCTTTATTTTCTTATTATTTATATTATATTAATTCGATACTTATTATTCTAGATGTAAACTTGTTACTATTGTTAATGAACATTGTTATATTTTATGAATAAAATAACTTAAATATTATATAATATTTAGTTTACAATTTTACGTGTATATTAAATGTTAAGAACCTATAAATAATTAAAGTTTTCTTTTAATTTTTAGTATTATAAAATTATGATATTATATTAATTTTATAATAACTAGAGGGGTTGAGACACTTTATGCCTCTAATAGTACATACAGACAAATATTAGAAATTGGGGATAAGGATAATTATTCAAAAAGGATGTAATTGTTTTTTTACATCCAAGTGGTATAATGGTCTACTAAAAAATAAAAATCAAAAGGGTAGTTACCAAAATATATTCCCTTTATAGATATAGATAATAATATATTATTATTTTATTAATATCGATTAGATCATAGTTCAATCATCTTTGTAATCTTTACTATCTTTACAAAAAAAACCATTAACCTAAAATCAATGACTAGATCAATTTTATGAACAACTCGGTTTAAAAACATTGGCTATCACATATTGCTATCATTGTGGTCATTGTGGTTAGGGATGACAAAGTGGGTTGTGGCCTGCGGGCCGGGCCCATCATTTCAACCCGCCAAACCCGCCAACCCGCCGGGCTAAATAGCGGGCCAGCCCCCCACAACCCGTCGGCCCGCATATATATTTTTTAAATTTAATTATTTTTATGTTTATTTTATTTTGATGTAGAAGATGAGGATGAAGATGATCAAGAAAAAAAGTAGAGACATCTTCTTCTAAGAGAGCTTCTAATATTCTTAAAATAAAAATTTAAAGTTAATTAATTGTATTTAAACTTGTTTTGTGAACTATCAAAAAATTTAGTTGTGTAAGTTTATAATTTAGTTTTGATTTTGGTGTAAATAGACTAATTTCTATTTAATTTTGTTCTAAGTTTGTAATTTGTTTTTATTGAACATATATTATATACAATATGTATGCATTTTTAATTTCATATGGTTATATTTATTTATTTGTAGATTTTTTTTATTTGAACATAAAATATATATTTTTTTTTCATTTTTTTTTATGCGGGCTGGCCCGCCAACCCTCCAGCCCGTCTTTAGGCGGGGCGGGCTAGCATCTCCAACCCGTTTTACGTTGGCGGTCTGGCCTGGCCTGGCCCGGTTTGGCGGGCCAATGGTGGGGCGGGCCAAAACGGGGCGGGCTAACCCGTTTTGCCATCCTTAATTGTGGTAGCCTTCTATGATAAGACACACATACAAATATACAAGAGGGATTTGGCTTTTTCGCCCAAATAAATAAATAAAAAATTAAAAATACACGAAATAAATTAAAAAAAATTAATTACCAGAGTAGGTGATTCTGGACGTAAGAGGTAGGGCGTGTTTAAGAAAGCGCCTCCCCTCAGGCACCTTGTATGCCTGACGTGGCACTGAAATAGAAAGAATAGGGCGTGAGGCGATTTTCAAATGGCGCCTCCCGCCAGGCACCTTCTTCGAAAAAAAAAAAACCTAAAGTTCATGCCAAAATAGTTGACTCATGAAGCTCTTTCATCTTAATCTATGTTTAAGTTTTCCTTTCTTTTGACATTATTTAAAAGGAGTTTCTCCGTTCAAGTCGAGCTCGGAGGAGATATTGGGCAAGGAGCTATGCTGGATGGAGGCGATTTACAGCGGCACAACCATCTGCTGCCCATACTGCTTTGGCAACATTAGATAAAGCTGGCCGAATCCATCTCATGATTACACAAAATGTTGACAAGTACCCTCTAATTATTTATCAACTAAGCTTATTTGGAAAAAAGGTGAGATATTAAAACCAAGCCTATCCTGGAATTTTGTTGTACCTTGTTCTCAGGCTGCATCATCGTGCTGGTAGCAATCCATTAGAATTACATGGGACTGTATACACTGTAATTTGTATAGATTGTGGATATTCCTTTTGCCGGAGCTTATTTCAGGACCAGTTGAATAAGGACCTTAATCCAAAGGTTAGAGTTTGCAACTAATAGAAAAAATTGTATAATCAATGATGCAGCCGGGTGCTCATTCATCAGGTGTGTGACATTGGGAGAACAGCAATCCCTTTGAATGGTTTATCCAATAAAACATTCTGAATGGCATGTATAAATGGTAATAATACTGGCTATTCAATCTCGTGTTTAATAAGATTTTGCACCCCATATTGCAGTCACTGCATTTGACTAGGATTAGGAGTACTATTTTTCTTTTGTTTCATCTGTGTTGGGTTGCTCAGAACCAAAAAAATCTGTATTAGATTGATGTTTCCCTTTGTTAGTGATTGTGTCTTCTTTGTACTTGTTCCATTTCTTTTTTTCTTGTAGTGTTTCTTGTGACACCCTCTACCCCATTATTAATATACAACAAATGTAACAATAAAATATTTCTTTTCTTCTTTTTGGGTAAATAAAATCTTTCATAGTTGACAAATATTTCAAATATAACAAGGTAGAAGATTCACATTCGTAACTCATAAATCATAACTCCAGTGTAAAAATTATAAAAGAAAAGAAGTTAAGATTTTCAATACAATTTAGTGTAAAACAAGAAATCATATATATACAAATAATAATAAAGGAAATATAAATTAACTCCAGTAAAGGTGGCAGTGCCTCCTGGTTAGGAATTAATTTATACTCCCAAATCATATAATAAAAAATATAACAAAAATGTACATCTTGGTCTTTTATCAAGAACGTTCAAATTACAATTCTTAACATATATTTTCCTTGAATTATATATGTTATCTACGTTATTTCTTCGTTAGAAATTACAAAAGAAGAGAAACTAAAGTTATAAAAACAATAACATATTAAACTAAAATAACTATGCCCCGATGTCACATCCTATCAGAGCATGCCCAATTGAAGCCTTTAAGCCTCATCACCAACATCCTCATGATGCTGATCACCTGCAACATAATTTAAACATATACAAAAACAACAAGGGAGTGAGAAACATCTCACTCAGTTTCAGGTGCAGAAATAAAGGCTAGATAGCACACACACACACAACAAATATAAGTCACTTATAAATAATACACATACATCATCAATATCACATATATATTCATTTATCATGCAATGATGTCATGATCTTGACTTATAAATGCATGCATGTGGCGCCATAAGGAAGTTTCACATATCATCACTGGTGACCCTAAGGCACACCTGGTTACATCACTGGTGACCCAAAGGTACACCTGGTTACATCACTGGTGACCCGAAGGTACACCTGGTTAGCAAGTTACATCGCTGGTGACCCGAAGGTACACCTCGTTAGCAAGTTACATCACTGGTATGCGGCCTCAGCGGCACACCTGGAATAATATATGCGTATGATGCATGTCATACCATCATAATCTCATTGACTCAATATTTAACTTTTTACATGATTTCATTTAGTACATCATGTCCTCATTTGTCATAGTCTCATAATCATAGTTTGTCTCAATAGTCAATTCTTAGGTCTCATGTCATTTGTCCATATTTCACATGGTCATGTCATCAATACTCCTCTTAAGGTCCGCATAGGTATTCACAGAGATCCAGAGAGCATTCTTATTCATATTAAAACTCATTTATTATTAACATTAATTTCATATTCATTTATTACTTTCAACAAAGAACAAGGTAGAGTAAATAGAAAATCAGACAGAACAACGGCACTTTCAACAAAAACAAAGTAGAATAAATAGAAAATCGGACAGAACAACGGCACCTTCAACAAAAAGCAAAGTAGAGTAAATAGAAATTTAGACAGAACAACGGCACCTCCAACAAAAAAGCAAAGTAGAGTAAATAGAAATTAAACAGAATAACGACAAAGGATTGGGGGCCAATCCGACAAACAACTATCCAACAATTATCCCTACACCCCTGAGCGAGGTTCTCACTCCCCCCCTTACCTGGATAAGCGGAGCTGAACTTAGGCAGAGCCTCCTCCTCTGGATTCCCTCTTCCTTTCTCTCTCTCTTTCTTTCTCTTTCTCTCTCTCTCTCTCTCTCTCTCTTCTCTTTCTCTCTCTAAAATTTCACTTTCTTCCTCTGTATAAAAAATTTCACCCCCCTGCCCCTATTTATAGGCAATCTGACGCACCCGGAACGGCCCGTACTGATTTCGGAACGGCCCGTTCCGGATCCTTCAAATCTGGGCAAAATTTGTAACTGGAACGGCCCGTTCCAAAATCGAAACGGCCCGTTCCCAAAAAACCAGAACGGCCCGTTCTGAAACCAGAACGGCCCGTTCTCAATCTCAGCAGAACGGCCCGTTCTCCTTCCGGAACGGCCCGTTCTCCATACCGGAACGGCCCGTTCCAAGGCCGTTCTGGGACTACAAAAACCTCACATTTTCAACATTTGGAACGGCCCGTTTCACTTTTGGAACGGCCCGTTCCGGAACCCAAAATACCCCTATAACTTTATTAAAATTACGAAAATGCCATTAAAATAATAATAAAAATTTGGGTGTTACATTTCTAAAAAGCATTCAAATTGAATAAAAGAGTTGGTTTGCTCTACTGTATGTTTCCAAGTTTTGAGCAGATAAGTTAACAGCACTAGCAACAGCAACTGTAAAAGAACATAGAAAAAAATTTAATTTAATTACATGCTCACAGTAAAATAAAATAAATAAAACATGTAGATTATTTACATAAAAGACCCATTACAAGATACCGAGCACAACATTAATTCTTTTTCTTTGGACATACAAATCAACTTGTTAGTGGTACTCTCAATGCAATGATCAAATATTGACAATTAATTCTGTCAAATAATAGTCTTTCTTTGGACCGACTATTATTCACATGATTGTAACTTTATAGTTGTCACATATTTATCATCACAGGCATGTTATTATTTGGCCAAATTGTGTCTTCCTTTGGGATGAGCACAAATCGCATAAATAATCTCATACTAACATCTATTGTAATTTTTAATCAAATTAATTTCTATAATAGGGATTGCTTTGGCAATATATTACATCAATTTATTTAATTAAAAATTACCAGACAAATTAATTAATAAAGAGGGTCTATAATCTGCCAACATTCGCACTCAAATTTGATATATATAAAAAAAATATCAATTTAAATATGAACATAATATCAATCAAATTTTAAGAAAATAATTCTTACGCGAATGCCATTAAAAATTCGATAATGTGGAATTCAATATATTAATCATATAATTTTCCCAATTATCATTTAATATAACAACAATGATTTTGACAAAAAACAAAATTCCCACTTCTGGTGGTACTCAAAGGATCAAACACAATATTATTTTTCCACTTCCGGTGAGAAAAATATTCTTTTATTTCATTGTTGCACAATTAACTCACTTCTGGTGGGAAAATGTTTCTTTATTGCATTGTTGCACAATTAACTCACTTCTAGTGAGAAAATATTTCTTTATTGCATTTTTGCACAATTAACTCACTTCTGGTGAGAAAATGTTTCTTTATTGCATTGTTGCACAATTATCTCACTTCCGGTGAGAAAATTAAAAAATTCAAAAAAATTCTACATTTGACAATGTCTTCAGGATCATTGCAAAATTGTTACATATACAAATCTATAACATTCACAGAAAATTATACAATTTCACAAAAATTCTCTTTAATAAAAATTCAATTTTTAATCGATCTCTTTATCCGTATAATCAATTAAACCAAATTGAAGAAGAAAGAAAAATGACCAACGCATCCAAATACACGTATTATCAATGAAGAGAGAAAAAAAATTGTAACAATACACTTTAGAACCCCATAACCTAATAACAACGGCAGCTCTGATACCACTTGTTGGGATAAATTTCTCTTAAGTCAAATAGAAATTTTTCATTAATCAAAAATTAAGAACCGTTGTCTCAGATTACAGAGTTAATGATAATAACACTTACCTGACGGTGATCAAAAGGTTGCAGCGGAATAGTCTTTTGGTGCAATGATCTTCCTCAGCCAAATCACTGGATTCCTTGATGGGACTTGATGTTACTCTTCTGATGGGGAGACAGAGAGACGTGTGTTTCTGATTTGGCATATTGGGGACCATGACCATCGTTATGATTTTAAACCTATTAGGGTTCCCATTAACCCCTAACGGGCCAAATCTGGTTTCCACTTATTTGGGCCCATATCAGTTTTTCCTGTTGGCAGTCTAAAGGCTCACTAAAATTAGATCACTTTTATTGAGCCCAACCAAATGTAAATAACTAATATAAATACTACAAACAATATATATAGCCCACAATAATTATTAAAAATAAAATTTCTAACATTATGTTTTGTATGTTTCAATCATTTATATAATTTCTATTACATGTGTCTAGGTTCATTGCACTGAAACTCTGAATTTAGGAGGGCAAGACTCGTGTCATTTCTGTGGTTATTAAAAGCAAAAATATATTTCTTCATATATTACCAGTGCTTATTTTATCAAAATGCTTTAATGTAGTAGTTTGAGTTTTTGTTTCTCAAAACAATATGAATGCATACATCTGTTTTGAGTTTTCCTTTTCTAATAACGAAGAAGGTGCCTGGGGGAGGCGCCATTTGAAAAACGCCTCATCCCCGCTCTTTTTATGCTCTTTCTGTTTCAGTGCCACCTCGGCCATACAAGGTGCCTGGGGGAGGTGCCTTCTTAAACGCGCCCTACCCCCTGCGTTTTTTGTTCCACGTGTCTTCCCACATGTCTAGAATTACTTATTCCGGTAATAAGTTTTTTTTTATTATTTATTTCATGTATTTTTAATTTCTTTTTATTCATTTGGGCGAAAAAATCGAGAAATTTACTTATTCCAAGAGTAAGTTTGTCTAAACTTACTCCATCCAATAACATGTTTTATATTAAATTTTAACTATCTATCTATTGAATTAAAAGTTCTTATTGAGTGGAATAAGTTTTAATTAATCACTTTTAATGAGGTCTAACAATCATATATTTTCATATATAAGACTCAAATTTAAAACTTTGTTTAATGGAATAA